GGGAGGCGGCAGTCGATCTTCATCCAGTGGTGTAGGTGTCCATTATATAACTAACAAATGAGAGGTCAAACGTGGTCAGAAACGGTGCCAAACATCGCCAAGAACTGCCCCACCACCCCAAGCCCGAGCAAAGACCCACACCAAACCTGTTTCTTCCCGTGGTTGGTGCGTTGGTGGTGGAGATTCACACATCGACCCTGGCCTATGTGACATGTGTTTGATTTGTTGAGAATGCTCACGGTGCTTTAGTAATTCACTGACATCGCTTGCATCAATAGATCTCAGCAGACACTCTTATCAGGACAAAAATCCTTTGATCCTCAACACTTGATGATTTCTCACAAGATTGAACCATGCTGCAAAGCAGTGCTGATGTGGCAAACTTCCGCCTGCTGGGCCAACCCTGTTTCACCTCCCCTCGTTCCGTGCGCGCGGCATGTTGCCTCGCTCAAGAGGTCCCAAAGTGCCTGGCAGCGAAAGCGAGATCTCGATCGAATCGGCCCATGTCTTCGATCGAAGACATGGCAAAGCCGATTGATCTCGGTCCATCTCTTCACTTTGTTTCAAACAAAACGACACACATGTGGAATGAGTGTGGTGGAATTATGTGGAATTCAAAACGACAAACATCCCTCCGAAACGGGACCACGATGTGAAGAGTGCTTGGCACGAAAGCGATGGCTACTCGAGGCTTCCACCAGTGCCAGGCAGTTTGAGCTTGTGTCATGCAGGAACATGTGTTCAAAGTCCTGCTGATAGGTTTTTGCTTATTCTTAGCACTTTTTTGGAATCCCTCTGCACCTTAACCTGATGGGTACCGATCGACAGCCACTGACCGCACCTTCCGCAAACCTGGACTTTGGAAGAAGAGCGCGGAAAACAGCGCTAGCCTGGGGGCGAGAAGATCACAGACAAGAGAAGGTACAGCCATGTGGACTAAACAACTCAACAACCATGTAAATGTGCCTAAAGAGTGTACCCACGGCTAATTCGTCCGTCAAGTTGGCTGAATCTGCTGGCACGCACACTCCATTTCAGGCTGTGTTGACTGAGGTGAAAACTCGCAAACCAGCCACCTCTTGTCACCAATCTCAGTCTTATTGGAACTGGAAACGTATTGGGACCCAAACCAACGGTCTTCGGACACCAACGGCTGAATCTGCTGGGCGTTGGTCCAAAAGCCGTCTCTTCTCATTGTCGGTCTTGAGTCCTTGAACTCAGAAAATCGAGCCATAGCTCATCGCTTTTCGAGAGATGAGACTCAGAACCTGACGCCACGACCAAGGCCACGAAGAAGAACCTGCGACGTTCGCTTGTGAGCGTGGAGCGAAAGCATGTCGTGTCGGCGCTGTTCTCGTGGAAAAACCATGGTTACTACCCTCCCGATAGCACGGTGATGTTTCCAAAACGAGTGTGTTCTCGAGAGTTTCACGAGTGTTCTCCCCATGCTAATGTGAATTTGTGCAGTACCTTCTATGAAGCAAGCATGACCTTCCGGAAAGTTTGTCCAGATTCCAGACCTATCTATCCATCTGAACAAAACGTTTGGGGGTTGAGCCACCATGGGTTAATGCCATCAACGGAGATCGGGATTCAAGACATCCCTCAAACATCACTGCACCCCTCACCCTAGTCTACAGTCCTCACTTATTCTACACAAAATAGGACAAGAGTCTATCCAAATCCGTGGCAACGCTGAAAAATTCGCGGTGTCCGAATGCTCATCTGCTCCCAAAAAAACTTTTCTGCCGGGGTTTGGGCATCTCGAAATCCATGAAGAGACTGGGCCCCCAAAAAGAACTGCGAACATGTCAGCTTGCCATAGGTCCAGGATCCCCTGCCCTGTCACTGCATCCTCCATGGCAGCCGTGGTTTTACGCCGGCATCCGTGATCGTGGATTCCGTGTCAGAGAGTTCTTTCTATGTGCGTGATTGGGCTGAGATCGGTGTCCCGCTATCTCTTGCAGGTGATGATGGTCAAAAATGGTCGCTCTAAAGAGATAGCCAAGAACAGTAACCTTCATCAACTAACTTGTTGTGGGAAAGGATCAAAGCTTGCCACATCTAGGTCACAAGCTTTGAAGCCCTGCATGATTGTCCGAGTTATTCGATGTTGTTCTCGGGAAGTGCACCCATCGTTTCTCCGAGCTTGGTTCGTTGCGCGGTCGATGCTGGGTTCGTTTCGGTGCTCTGCTCCGTTGGTCCCCTGTGGTTGGCGGGGACCATTCGAGTAGTATGGCAAAGAACTTCTTGAAGCCTCCGAGGTATAGCATCCTTTTGGGATCTATGAGGCTCCTGGTGGCTCAGCATGAAACTGGGACGTGATTGAAATGAGAAGCCTTGACACACCGCAGCGGGCGAGATGCAAAAGACGCAAGGCTCAAGGATTCTTCAGTACTCAATTGGTCTGAGCCCAACGCATGAATGTGGATAAGTGGAGTGGACCCTCCTTTGGAATCGTTCTCCTGAAAAATCCAAGGTTCCCAAGACATCTTTGGTGGCACTGAGGACGCGAAGCAAGCAACTCATCCAGCATCCCGGACCCCAGGTTCCGACGTGCCCATTTTTAATGAGGACAAATCCATTTCCCCTTAAGCTCCCAGAAAAATCCATCCAGAAATGACGTCTTGGGGGATCTTCACTCCTTCAACCCACAAACCTGGACAATTTTTTGACGACCGGAGGCCCCTCGCACGAGGTTGCCGGGCCACAAACGGCCGAAGGTCACGATTGCGTGGCACGAATTTGGCGAAGTGGGTGGCCACCAGTGGAAGCCCAGCAGCTACGAACGTAACAAGAAGCTACGAACGTAACAAGTGCATCGCTACGAACGTAACAAGTGCCTTACTAGTAACAAGAAGCTAATATATTCTTTTAAATATGACTTCTGTCTCTGTCGGTGACTTCTGCTGATGGACCTGTCCTCTTGACCGGCGTAAGAAAACCGTCCATCTCGCTAGTTCGAGTCGCGCAGTGCAGACAGGAAGATGTACAGCAAGGTTCTGAAAACACATCCTGCTGAGCGTATACCTTGAACCATGTACCGGAGGCCACCCTCGTCGGGCCAGAGTGCATGAATTAAGCCAGCTTCACTCCACTGGGCAATGTTTGGTCACGTGCTGAAGTAGCCCTGAGTGGTTTTTTGGGCGGACTGTGGAAGCTGTGGAAGCTGTGGAAGCTTTGCATGCAATGAGCATCCCCTACGACATTAGACTTTGACATGATTAGGACCACTCAGTTGGCCTTGATCCGTCCAGTTATCAAGCTTGGCTGAACATGAGATCCAAACGCCTTCGCAAAGTCATGGGATCCATGATGCAGCGCGCGCTTTTTCTCCCAACTCCTGCCTCCTGCTTCAACAGCCATGTGCAAGCATCAGCCAGACCCAGCCGAATTATTCTCTCACCTGCCAGAAACACAAAAAAAAACAAGAAGACCAGCAACAGTGCATCATGCAGAACATGCCTACAATTTGCAGAAAGAAACTCTAAACTCCCTTGCAAAATCCTGCCGTTACCCATCTTTGACTCGATGGTCCGATAGTCGTACCAGTGCGACAGACACCACCTGCAGGTGCCCTGCCAGCACCCGCGTCTGAAATCTCCTCAGGAGACTTCCTGCTCCATAGCCCCACAGCCTGGGAAGCTGCAAAAAGGCAACACACCTGTTGACGCTACGAGGCTAGGGGCTCCTGGCCTTACTAGGAACAAGAAGCTACGTTCGGGGCTCCTAGCGCAAAAGGGCAACACACACGGAACCCAGGAGATCCTGGCACCTTCAACTTGTTCCTCGGGAACTGGTCTTGGGAACCTCAGTTCAGTCAGCCTTGGTTCGGTGGTCTTGCGTAAGTTGTGCCTGGTTTTGAGCTATGGCAAGGTTTTTGGTGGGCATGCGATTCCAGTCGTTGAACCCAGACAGCACAAGATGGAAACTGCAACAGGGTCCACTGTCCTCGGATCAACAAGTCGTCGCAAACGCAAACGTGCGCCCGTTTGAGGCTCCCCCACGCGAGCAGCGCCGAGAAACGACCTGCCGCCCGGATCCACGCACCAATTCCCAGGGGGGTTCGAAGAAGATGAATACAAAGCGTGAAATCAAGTTCGACACAAGCTCCTTAGTCCTGTGGACCACTGACCAAAAACAATTCGCAAAAATATGAAAAAATGCAAGGACCAGGACCAGTCAAACGTGCGAGTCGGCAGGAGCTTTACTTAAAAGTGCAATTTGGCGAGGCTTCCACCTGTACTCTACCCCATCGCTTCACTTACGGCCACCCAAAGGAGAGCACACTCCCTCCCAATCATGGAAGTAGAACAAGCGGTCCCTTTTCCTTCTTGGAGGACTTCCACCGATCGCCCTTGCCACATCGCTGCCATCCGCAAAGGAAAAACCCGGTGTTCCCCGCCTGCGGAACCGCGTTCTCCTTGCCGCCTCCTGCGGAGGTCAGCACGCCGGCGGTCTGACGATCTGACGGTCTGACGGTCAGGCCCCCTTGGCCGGAATGACCCATCCTGGAGGAAGCAAACACAGGGAACGGACTCAGAAGGGCGCCCTGCCGGTCCACTGAGACCATGGCTACACTGAATCCTCCGAATCCATGGCTACACTGAGACCTGCCTGACCATCTCACTCGACCTGCCACAATGCCGACGTCCTGCATGGTTGCGGCAGGGCGTGGGGATCTTCAGGAAGTCCACCTGATCGCGTGGGGTTCGGTGAAGGCTGCGTCCGGCCGTCGGACAGCTGCAGGTGCTGACCCTCCCCACTCCCAGCCTTGAGGATTGAACTCAGGAAAGGAGCCCCTCGTAGCTTCTTGTTACATCCGCAAAATGGCATGTCCCGAAGGATCCTGGAAGCCAATGTCTGACTGTAGCGTCTCCACTCCCGTGATTTTTTGCGTCTGCAGGTGGTTTCCTCACATATCAGGTCAGCACCCAAGTTTGCATCAAAGAGGAAGGATACAAGCACTCTCTAAGTGGCGGGTTACAATCACTTGAGGTGGAGATCACAAGTTGCGAAGGTTCTAAGTTCTATGTGTCAAATGGCCATCATGAATCGTCCTTTTCCATCAGAACAAGGACATGCGGAGGGTTGGTCATTGGTCTCGCTCAATAAGTTTGGACCACTTGTCCACGGACATGTCTGGACTTCGAGCCAGAAAAGACCCAACCCCCGGCACCACAAACCAACCGGGCTCCACACCTTTCCAGCACCGACTTCTTCACTCGCCTGACCAAACATCATCCTTCTGCGACTTCATTGGGAGCAGCATTCATGAGCCAAGCGTTCCTCCACCTTTCGATTCCCCAGAAAGAAGCACCTGGCTTCCTCACGACGGATGCTGACTGCCCTTTTAACAGTTGAGTCCAACAAAGAAAAGTCTAAATCTCTATTTTCAGCAACCAAAACATGGAGTGAATTGCAAATGCAAAAGAACGGATTGATCAACCTCCAGCTTTGATGGCAATTATTTCAGGCCTTCAAGAAGCTTTATGTGGCAGGCAAAGAAAGCAAACTGGTTTCAATTGCCCATAGCTTCACCAAAAGCCCCGGTTGGTTCAGAACTGTTGGACTCTTGTTCACAGCACGGGCTCTCTGCTGGAACCAGCCTGGATAACTGCCGGGACGTTTTGGGGCACAGAAGCCTCAGGTGGTGCATCAGCATCTTGAAAGGCACGGCTTTCGAACATGTACAAGACAACACGATGTCAATTGTTTGCTGTTCTCGCAAATTCCAGAGCCCTACCAGGCCCTACCGCTGATTCCCACTGACCCCAGCTACTATTTAGCAAAGCCACGGCCAAGGGCACGGGGTTTGGGATAGTCAGCAGGGAAAGAAAACGCTGCTTAGCTTGACTCTAGTCCGACTTTGTAGGGTGGCTCAGAAAGTGTAGCATAAGTGGGGGCTCCGGCAACCTTAATTGATCTTACTGCACTTATTCCGTGAAGCTGAAGCTTGCATCATGTGAGTTTTTTGCTTTGAGGCTACCTCCTTTGGATCTTAGTCAGTGGGGGGTTCGTCACTGGGCGCAGAAATCTCATGTAGACCAAAAGCGGAAGAGCTTGCTCGATTTTGCTTTTCCTCCACACCCCCTAATACTCACTTCGTTCGCCCATCGACAACTCCAGCCTAGCCTATCGGCTGGCTTTCGTCAAATATGAACATCAACTGTGGAAGCATGGCCTATCGATCCTTTGGGTTTGAGGGAGGCTCTGGGATGTGCGCGCCATGGCAAGAAGCTCGGACGAAAGGCTTTGAGGCGAAAGATGTCCAAACAGGTTACTGCGGGGATAGCTGGCTCGTCTCAGCCAAGCGTTCACAGCGACGTTGCTTCTTGATCCTTCCATGTTGGCTCTTCCTATCATTGAAACGCAGACGTCCCAAAGTGTTGGACTGTTCACCCACCAGTGAGCTGGGTTCAGACCGTGAGACAGATTAGTTGCCCTACGAATGAACATGGAAGTCAGATGATTGTGACAGTCATGGAAGTCAGTATGAGGGGAACACTTCACTTCGCTCAGATACTCGGTGAATGTGGTGAGCTGAAAAGCCAAGTCTACGAAGCGATCATCTGTTGGATTACGACTGAACACCTCCAAGCCTGGATCCATGCTGGCTAAGCAGTGTTGCTCCCCAAATGCCCAAAAGCAATATGCCAACCAATAGGCTTCGGCTCCAGTTTAGCTTCCACCACCGCCAAAGGCATGGGAGCCAATGATAATTTGGCAATGTGGGTGTGATAGCTTTTGAAGACGGCTTTCCTTCTTCATGTCCGTTGCTCAACTCTCCCACACTTAGTTATAGGCGCTTATGTTAAACCTATGTTAAGAAACTAATGATCAAGATGATCACTATTGTGGAAAGAGACGTTGTCCTAGGGACTTCGCGCTGCTTGCTTAAACCTCGACCGCATCAGCGTCGACATGAACTTGAACAACTTTCTGGCCATGGGCTTGGAATGGCCATGGGTTCTGCAAGGAACTATAAGTGCTCAACCTATCCGTTGCACGGTGCTATTTTGGGTTTCCATGTTCGCTCTACATTCTCCTTGACAGGAAAAAGAAATGCCCAGACCTGACTACAGACACTCGTGGCCAAGATCCTAATAATCACTATGATCACTGTGTTCAAAACATGAAAAAGAGACAGTACCAATGAACAAATACCAATTAACAGTTCTTAACGGTTACCCTGCCCGATTCTAATTGCATTTTGTCTGGTGTTACATAATGTTGTTGTTGCTTCTGTTGTGGTGGTCTTCCTCTCCTCTTCCTCTTCTTCCTCTTCTTCCTCTTCTTCCTCTTCTTCCTCTTCTTC